AAGATCAGTGCTATGTTATGCCGCTGAGACCTGGCCACTGTCAAAATCGGATGAAAGACTGTTAAGTATATTTGAAAGGAGGATCTTGAGATATATCTTTGGACCAGTGGAAGAAAATGGAATATGTAGGAAGAGATATAACCATGAGCTATACCAACTATTTAATGAACAAGACATTATTGGATTTATAAAGGTGAAAAGGCTTGAATGGGCTGGACACATAATACGTGCCGGCGAGAATAGAACCATCAAGAAAATGCTTAACACCAAACCAGAAGGAAATAGGAGAGTGGGAAGACCAAGGTTAAGATGGGAAGAATGTGTGTGGCAGGACATAAGAATTTTGGGTATAAAGAACTGGAGGAATGTAGCATCGAACAGAGAAGAATGGCGAGCAATCTTGAGGAAGGCCAGGGCTCACAAAGGGCTGTCATGCCAGTGATGATGATGATGTATATTTAGTAAAAATCCTGTTCAATAAGTAGGGTTTCCTAGGTCATACAATTTAAATGAGAAGTCATTACAATGTTAATTGTAGCTCTTTTATTCTGCTGAAGTATTTTTCAGCATAATCCCTGAGCACACTGATGCATTTGTCCCACCTTGGCAAGAGTTTAAAAATTCTGTTGCAGTAGAAATTAGGTTCGTGCATTCAAAATTCACCAATAGTCATTTCCACTTCTTCAATACTGTGGAACTGGTAACCTCCCAAATGTTGTTACATGTTACGCCTACCCATACCTAGTGCTACCACCTGCGAAAAATCAAAATCCTTCATTAACACAAATTTTATAGGCTCAGGAACCCTACTTATTGAACATCCCTCATATTTGTGTATTTAACTGTTCATTCCTTTAATATATTCAAATTTATCACACCTGAGACACAGTGCGGTTGCATTTTACATGAGGATGCATTCATAAAAGCCTCATATAAGTCAAGACAAGTTTTCTCAAAGAAAATAAATGTAAAGTCAGGGTGATATTGGAATTCACATTATTTCAAACTTTGCGCACTAAGTGAGTGTTTAATAATATTTTTTATATTACTTCAAATATGCATAAAATGTGACAGCACTGTAATATTTGAAATGTGTTCTAAAATCTTGCTCATTCATATCAGAGAATTTATTTTCCAAGTAGCAATGCAGTTTCTGAAATAATGTTAATATGTGCACACTCTGATAGTGAGGCAAGAACTGGTCTTACCCAGTGTTCTACAGGTCATAATAACATTTATTTTTTATGTTTTCCCATTCCACTACCTTATGCAGCCTAAAGATGTACCAAGCTTTACCACTGCTCACTAAACACTTTACTTTTTTTATTGCTAGTGGAGTGGGACTAAGTCCCTTGTACTGTGGCCACTTCTGGCCTATTGTACCAGCCCCAGATGACAGGTGAGGGTGATTGTGGAGCAATTGATGGAATGAAGATTGGCAGGGGAAACTGAAGTACTTGGAGAAAACCTGCCCCAGAGCCACTTTATCCACCACAAATCCCACTTGAGCAGACCCGGGATCGAACCCAGGCTGCTGCAGTGGAAAGCCAGCGAGTATCGCTTAAACTATGGCATAGCCGAACACTTTAGTTACTATACATTCAATTGACCAAATCCTTCCAGCTGCACTATGGTGCTGGGGTCGACCACTTGAGTAACAGAAATAAGTACCAGGAATATTCTTGGAATGTTCTTGGGGGTAAAGGGCGGCCAGCATGTAGGGCTGACAACCTTGCCGCCATCTGTGAGCCGAGTGTCTAAAAAATGTGGGAACCTCAACAGCCTGTTACAGAGATACCTTTACCTTACTTTTATTTTACCTTTACTTTACAATGTAAACTGACCTTGCTGCATATCCCCTATTTTTAAGTGTACGTCTTCGCTGTTTCATGCGAACTATTTCATCCCGAGTCAATCCTCTCATTTTCAGCTGACGGTTGAGATCTCGAACAGAGATTGTAACCAGCTCATCATCACTGATATCAAGTACAGGTCCAGGGGATAATGGTGCCTGGAGAAAAATAAGTGACATATAACACACACACAGAATTCAGCAAACATTATGATAAAGAGGCACTGCCAAATTGTATCAATCAATCAGTTTATTTGTTCCGAGAATCCATATTTGGAGATACAACCTCCGGATATAGAACAAGTCAGTTACTACATATTAAAATAACATACATATCATACACGAGTCAGCAATACTATGAAACTTAACTACCTACAGATTTCATACAAACCAATCATACACTACACTGTCCCGCTTTCAAAAATTCAATACCAAAAGAAACCCAACATCCAACATTTTCTTTTATAGATCAAGTGAGGACAAGATATTTGTCTTAACATGAAACCATAATACACTCACTTCAGAATTTTAGGGACATAAATTCATCAACAGAATAAATGGAATGTTTCAACAGATTTTAAGTCTCTTAAAAGTTTTTTTTTTATTTAATCTGCTCAGGGACCTTATTATACAAGGTGATACCCATATTTATAATGCTTTTCTAAAAAAGAACTGTACTGCAATGATTTATATGTAAATTTAATTTTCTTTGGGCGTTGTAATTATGGATGTCACATACATATCCTACATGAGTCAGCAGTACATTTATATGTGGCTATCATGCTTTCAGATAAACATATATCTTCTAGAGTGCGAGAAAAACTTACGAAGACTACATGCAATTGGAACTGAATAATCCACCCAGTATGGAAAAAAGTAAAATCTTCAGTAAGAGAACTATCAAATAATGGCCACCAATCCAAGAGCAGAGGAACATCCACTGCTGGAAGATGTTACCAAGCAGCACAGTGAAGACTGTGACTTAGAACACTAGTCTGTTTACAAAAACAACCAAAATATTATCACCAGTACAGGTACAATAGGACATATAGAAGCTGACGTGCCGAGGGGACCTAATATGGATTCCACCTTACACTATATGAAATCTTAACTATTGTAATCTACTGTAATCTATTGTAAACAATTTTAAGTAATGTAACTTTATTCTCTTATTGTAATCAGCCAATGTACAATAACTGACTTGTCCTATATCATGTAACAATGATCTATTGAGACGAAATAAATAAATAAGACCTGATTTCTTGTATGAACTTCATCGGGATGATCTAAACAGAAAAGGGTGAAAAATGGGACAGATATTTACAACTGAATACTGTACTTTTCACCTGCTGATATTATTCCACTTTTTAATGTGTATTTAGTTTAAATAAAGCAACAATGCTCATTTTAGTTTCTATACTAATACTAGGTTTCAAAAGAAAGTAGCCTAGTATGGCTATGATTATAGTACAAAACATGATTTAGAAGCCCCTCCACAACTTACTTTCACTGCTCTCAACACTCCCTCCAACGGTCTGCACCCTTCTATGCATTTCTTCACTAACCTTCTCAGGCAAATGTCCACAGTACCAGTCATGGATGCAAACACAGCATTTGTATCATGTTTCTGACAAATTTAATAATTTAAAAATGTCCTATAACCAGTGTTTGAGGAGGCAGACGTCCATCTTTTACATTTCCTTCATGTCTAAGCACATATATCAGACATCTCATCTCATTTATTTACATTCCATAAATCCACTACATATAGGATAAGGAATTAGTCATTGATAGTACAAATAACACTACATAGAAATAACAGTATAAGATTCATTACATTATTCAATACCATAATAGATCACAGTTAATTACTGGAGTCAAATTTACAATTAAAGTATTCTTCCAAGGAATAAAACGAGTTCATCAACAAAAATCTTCTTAAACAATTTTAAAATGTTAACATCTTGAGCCAAGTTCCTTATATTAGGAGGAATACATACAATAATTTATGCACTGATGTGTTCTGAAGTCATGCACAACGAATCATATTAACGTCATCTTTCCAACTCCTGCTTGCATTCAAATACAGAAGTCTATATGGTGTTACGAAAAAATTTAAGATCTATTACCATGATCCTTTATTTACTCCACTTCAATATCACATTTTCAATAAACTCTACCAGAACACTACCAAAAGTTCTTCCTCACCTGACTTCCATGGCTAGCTTTTCTGTCGCCTTTTTTACCTTCGGGAGGCATTGTTAAATGGTCACATACCTTCTGCGTATATTTCTAGCGGTTCTCAACACCGCAGCACAAATATTGCTTAGTCATCATAATATGCAAGATGGACAAGATCACAATCACCTTACAGTGAGACTTCCTGATGAAATTTTTTCTGCAGCCATAACGTTAAATGATTTAGATATCAGGTATTACATTACGATAAAGGAAAATTACTCTGCTCCTTTGCTTCAAAATACCGCTTTTATACAGCTTAGTAATATACGAACAACATAACATGGCCATAACACCAAATACCAAAATTTCAAATAGCAATCTCTGAGCAATCCAAAGAAGAATGGAATTAAAGGTATGACGGGTATGACGTCGGACAACGTTTATACATTGTTTTCGCGGAACATTCGAATACCCGTTCAGCAAAGAAACGGCGGTGTTCTTTCCTTAAGGGAAAATTACACAGTGACATCGCTTCACGTTGTGATACGTTATCATTTGCAACATGCCTGTAACATGAAATGCCATGCTAACACAATGGAATGTAAAAAATTAAGGCATTGTTGACGTCTTGGTTTGCAAACGGTTTATATGTAACAAACTTTTAAATTTTATTTCATAACTCAGAAGTGAATTAGTGTTGGGTGTATATTTATTGACAGTGTGCTTTAGGGTAGTTTATGTGGTGATTGGTATGTTGAAAATCTTACATGCTACTTCTCTATACAGGGATTCCGGAAATACTGGGCACAGCATTGCTGAAATCTGAATGCCATGCCATCATGAATAAATATCCAGAAGGAAGTTCTGTAGTGCAACAAATATACAGAGTACTCAGTAACATTGATGACCTTAATGGATGCACACCAGCTAATGTGGGGACGTTCTGAGTGGACCTCTATTGTGAATAGTATGGAGGAGAACAGAGCAAACTTTTGTAAAGTTGTAAGATTTGAGGCTTTAATGCCATGACTATGAAGAAAG